TGAAGGATTTAGGCTTTAGGGTTTAGGGTTTTGGGTTTAGGGTTTAGGGATTAGGGTTTAGGGTTTAGGGTTTCTAAGGTTAGAAGTATGGGCCCCTGATATGGACCCTTTGGCCTTTCTAGGGGCCCTTAAGGGTACATAGAGGGCACATGGTAGGTGTATGAGGATCTTAGGGTTAAGGGTTCAACTCGAGGTTTTGAAAGGCGCAGTGGGGGGGATCCTATGGGTTTAGGGTTTGAAGGGTTTAGGGTTTAGGGTTAGAGTTTTGACAGGGTTGCCTAGGGTTTGACAAGGCTCTAAACGGGTCGTTTTTACACGGGTTTTGAAGAGATTGCTGAGGTCCTCACGCGTTTCAATATACTTTTGTTCACAATGCTCTTTACAACGGCTTAAAGGGCTCCTGAAAGAGTTCAACGCGACGAAGTTCGGCACATGCCGTGCCCCGTTATGCAGTAGGATCACCCATGCAAGGCAAGGCTTCCTCAACGTTGGGGTTGAGAGCTTTGGGTTTAGGATTTTTAGGCATTGTAGGGTTCAGGGCTTTGGCGTTTTTCGGGCTTAGGGTTTGAGAATTTCACGGTTAAGGGGTATTAACCGAAACCCTCAAAGTCAAACCCTATACTCTTTACCCTGCTTGCTCTGGTAGCCCCATGCCGGCAAGCTTTTGGCCAGCGTGCCTGTCGCTGCAGGGAGTTCATGACCTGATCCACCACAGAGACTTTCCTGAGCTTCTCTTGAGCTTCTCCGGTGTGTTTATGGTCTGGGGTTTCGGGCTTGGGGAATGTGGGTTGGGTGTTCATTGCTCCCCCTCAGAAGCCATCAGAAGCCATGGAGAGGCAAGCCTAGCTTAATTCACACCTGAAATCAGCCTAAAGCATCTAGCCCGAAAGCCTAAAAACAGCAAAACCGACAAACCCTGACCCACAGAAGCCAAACCCAAGCCTCAGACCCCAAAAAGTCCATACCGAGCTACCCTCAACACCCGCGCGGGAGCTTCAGAAAAAATTGGGGAACCTTACCAAAACAGCTTGTGGCTCAAAGCCGATAAGACCACGCAAACCCTGTAAAACTCTGGACAACGGAAATATCCAGAATGCTAAACCCTGAACCCAGTACCCTGATAGATCCCTTATAGGAACCCTTATAGCCCTATAGTTCCTTCAAAGGAACCCTAAACTGGGCTTCGGGGCTGAGGGTCTGGAGTCACTGAAATCGGCGTGGTTGTAGCCTCGACCAGCCCTACACCCCGAGATCCTAAACACGGTTTAGGGTTTAGGGTTTAGGGTTTAGGGTTTAGGGTTTAGGGTTTAGGGTTTAGGGTTTAGGACCCTCAACCCTACACCCCAAAGCCCTAAACCCCAAAATCCCAGACCCAATAGCCTTCGTGAACCCTATAAGCCCTATAAGCCCAAACGCCCTATAAGCGCTATGAACCCCTGTCAATGCTGCCAACCCTGTGAACCATACTTGGAGGTTCATGGATAGTTATAAGTGGGGCTATAAGTAGGGTAACTGTAATTAACCTATTTTAGGGGACTTATAACCCCATTTATAATTACCCATGAACCTCCAAGTAACCCCCACCAGCCGGCAGCCCTGAATCGACTAAGCTACTCCCATGTTAGGGTTCGGGGCTCCGAATTTAGGGCTTAGGGCTTTGGGGTTTAGGGTTCAGGGCTTGAATTTAGGGCTTACTCGGAGGTTCATGGGTATTTATAAGTGGTATTATAAGTCGGGTAACTATAATTATAACCCATATTATTAAGGGACTTACAACCCCACTTATAACTACCCATGAACCTCCAAGTAGGGCTTAGGGTTTAGGGTTCAAGTGTTTAGAGTTGGAGTTTCAGGTTTAGGGCTTAGGGTCCCGGATGTGCCGAGGAAGCCAAAGCTACAAGACACGAAAAGAAGTTGACTGGCTTTGGTAGAGGGTGAACAGCAACGGTTACCATTGCAGCATTTCCCTAGTAAGTTTGCAAATGTTGCGTTTATGCAGGGTAACCCCTAAACCCTAAACCCTAAACCCTAAACCCCAAAAACCTAAACCCTAAACCCTAAACCCTGAACCCTAAACCCTAAACCCAAAGGCCTAAACCCTAAACCCTAGGATTTGGGGTGTAGGATTCAGGGTGTAGGGCTTAGGAGTTAGGGCTCCGAAAGTAAAGCCTGCATCGCCAGCCCAGGTTTAGAGCGCAGGGTTTAGAATGCAGGGTTGTGGGTTCAGGGTTTAGGGTTTAGGGTTTAGGGTTTAGAGTTTAGGGCTTTAGGTTTAGAGCTTAGGGTTTTGGGTGTAGAGCCCAGCGTCAGCATGCATTTGTACATATCCAGATATTGGTCCAGACTGCAGGGAAGGCTGTCAACCTGAGCCAATGCTTGCACTCTGCACCCAAAACCATAAACCCTGAACTCACACACCCTGCAACCCTAAACCCAAAGCCCTAAACCTGCGAGACCCTAAACTCTACACCGCTAAACCACTTCATGCCACCAACCAGAATCACTCCCCATTTATCAACTAAAACTTCATTCCAAAAACCTTTCAACTACCGCGAAAACTCGGGACCTTATCAACACTTTTTCCCAGAGCCGTCCGGCGTCCGCCCTTACAAAAACAAAAAACAAATCCTACACTCTAAACCCTCAGCCCTAAACCCAAAGCCCCGAACCCTAAACCAAAGGGTGGAGTTTTATTTCGGTCCTTTTTTTTTTTTCCTTTTTTTTTTGGCCCTCACGTCCCATTATTTACACACGATGCCGGCTG